CCCCAAAACCCCAAAACCCCAAAACCCCAAAACCCCTATAAATTCAGTTTATTGAATTATTATAATAAAATACTTCTGAGAGAAAATGAAGTCTCTAAACTTATCGACAAAACTACAGTTTCCTACCATCTTGGGTGTAGGAGACGCTCAGTGTGGATATCTTGAGTAAGTAAAAGAACCTATAATCTGAATAAAATATAACTCTTTTCCATTAAATATATAAGCAAACCCTCGTTACTTCCTAGGTGTGATTGGGGAGACCGGACTGAATCCTAGTACTGAATACCATAATATAATAGGAGAGCTGAATTCTCAAAATTCCGTCTCTTAGAGGTATCATAGTTAGTTCAGTGAAAATATGACTCAAGTTTATCACTCTAAGTGACTCTTAGTAGCTCTAAAGATTTATGTCTGTATAACTTCTTGTAAAAGCAGCTGGGAATATAAATCTTTCTCAAACCAATTCGTATTACTTAAATCAGGATGGGTTCGAATTTGGGTTTTAGGGGTAAAATAGTTTTAGACTAGTTGTTGCCATGGTGTAACTTCTGATTATATTTTTGAATAGGAATATCCTAATGGACTCTTTCTTGAAAGCCCATTCTGAAGATAAGCAATGGCAGACAAGCATGTCTATTAACTACTTCGCAGGATCAATGACTGGATGTGCCATGCCATTCGGGCAGACTCTCAATCAGATTAGTACTAAGTTACCTTCTATCGACTTGATTGCAAAGTTGGGAGATAAAGAAGAAGGTGCCAGTACTCAACCAGAAGTAATTTTGATTATTATCAACCGAATAGGTCTCATTCACCAATACCCTCCAAGATGTTAAGGCTATCTCTGACAATATATTCTGCCAAGGTACTGATTTCTTTTAGGTTTTTGGGATAAATTCGAATCTAGGTGTCACTACTGAATCGGACTGTTTCATTCCAAAATGTACTAAATCCAGAGATATAGCTAGTTCTGAAGATCATACCTTGGAAAATTCCGCAACTACCAAACTGTCTAAGGAGGAGAAAAGAGGAAAGAAGAACTTCGATGCTCACAGCTACATGGAAAATGAGAGAAGAAAGTTACTTGTAGTAAGTTCAGTCTTGTAATATCTAGAAATTGGACAAAAGCAATGATGATAGAGTAATTTTCTCAAAGAGAGTCAAGAAGCTTAGAAAGAATGCTAATCATTCAGCTCAATCTTACAGAGGATCCAGATTCTGGGGAGTTTCAAAGAATAAAAACAAATGGCAAGTTATGATCACTCTCAACCACTTCAAGGAATACAACGGAGGATTCTCAGATGAATTTGAAGCTGCTAAGATCTATGATAGAAAAAGCATTTGTACTTTCGGGCTCAAAGCTAAGACTAACTTTGACTACACCAAGAAACAAGTCCTTGAGATACTTGTAAACGATTGCCCTATCGTTTTGTAAATCTCTTGTACTGTTGAGGGATACCTTGACACTTAGTGCACACTTGAGTGCTCTACACCTACTTTTACACGTCATATTCAATCTTACATCATTACTAAGAAGTCTTACTTCTAGAGAGTTGTCAATTTTTTTATTTAAAAAGGGGTTTTGGGGTTTTGGGGTTTTGGGGTTTTGGGGTTTTGGGG